AGTTTACTCAAATAAATTCTTTCCTTTGGGCAAACTATAGTCTTTAAGTAACATGTGCAAAGACAAAACTAGCTTCCAGATTTAAGGTTGTGCATTTTGTGAGATTATAAAAAGTTTGAACAGATGACATGCAACAGTAGAAGGAAAAAAGATTGGAGTTGGGAGGAAAAACTCCTGTCTCTCTAAAGTGGAGAATAACATAAAGGCAGAGTTCTTATGTACCTTGTAACTAAAATATAGTATAAAAATTGTGTGTTTAAAAAGAAATCAGCTTTCAGACTAAAATTGCAGTGATACTTTCATAACATATGTATATCTCATCATTCAGTAAGATTTGTTGTACGTGAAAGAGCTAGTCTCATTTGTGTAGCAGCGAAATTTTGTTATTGGCAGCCACTCTGCAGAATTCCATAAATGTAGTATTTATAGAGATATTTAACAGGAATCAGTTTGAGGCAAATAAACTCTGAAATGCGTTGTAAAACTAACGTGGAAGTCTAATGGCATAGCGGAGCCCTTGAGATTGTTTTGTTGTTTTGCTTATTTACGTTCGGATGGAATATGGCTTGTGCTCATAGTTCCCAGATTTCATAATTAGGGTTTTACAGTTATGTAACCTTATTTTAAAGATTTTATTATTTTTGTCAGTTTTTATTAGAAACAGTAATTTTAAAAATTGTGAAATTTGTGGAAAGTGTTTAGTTTTGGCTATCCTTGTGGGAAAGCACTCAGTTATTTTAGCAAGCAGTAAGTAAAAAGATAGTTCAGTTAATTGATGTTTTATTTAATTAGAATTTTATATTAAGACATAAAATTGCATAATTAATTTGCACTTAAAAAGGTGCCCTACAGCCTTTACAATCATGGAATCATAACTTGAGAATTACTGTTCATATATCAGTGACTTATCATAATTAACTGCCTTCTCAGCATAGAGTATGAAAGGAGCCATAGTCAAAATATTTACATTTTAATATGTTGCATAATGTTATCTCATCAAGTGCTAGTTTTAGGAAAGGGCATGTCACATTTTAATGTGGGATATGTTTTTGTTTCTAGGTTGAGTACAGGTTAGATGGAAATGTTCAGAGTTTGCTGTATTTGTCAGTTCTTTCAGTCAGTCGTTGTAACATAGCAAGCAATTAAACAAGGAATTCGCTTCTGGATTTAAGATGTCATGATTCTGTTTTGTTTAACACCACCAAGGCTGGAAAACTAGGAGGAAATCCCAGAAACACTAAACAGTTATTCTTTAGCTGTAAGGAGTGACTTCTTCTGGATGTTGTAAAACTGGAAGAAAGTTTTGACTTTGTTATAATTCCACTATTCCTTTTAAAATGTAGTTTCCAAGCATCCAGCACTTTTTCAGTAAAATATTGCACACGTGATATCATGTGGTGTTATTTTATCTTCTGAAGTTTGAGTTTTATGATTTAAAGTGTACTTTGGTCACTTAAGCAAGTGTGATATTTTCTATGGGAAAACAACTTTGCAGCAATTATTTATTGTAACGCAAGAGAGTTCTCTGACATCATTTGAATAGTTACTGTAAAGGTAAAATATCCTACCTATTTCTGGAAAAAGAGTTTTATATATATTATGATTTTAATAAGTTGTGGCTACATTTATTACAATGTGAATGTGCCACTAATATTCTACACCATTCAAATTTAAGTAGTACTCCAACAGTGGTATTGGTTAAGATTATTATTATATACTGTGCTGAGAAAAGCACATTTGTAAGACTGCTGTGTCTTGGTTATTAGTGCCAGGATTTGGGCTATCTTTAATCTCATTTGACTTGTTCATCTTCCTTAAGGATCTCCATAAAGATGCCTGAGTATTCTTTTCACCCGTTAGTTAGGGTTTGCCTCAGTGGTCGTAAACCTGCTTAAAGGACAAAGACTCTTTTTTCCTTTGAAGTCATTTCCACAGCTTTTCAAAGGGGTCTAGAAGCTGGTTCCCCTAAAACAATTTAGAAAAGTTTGAAGAGGTGCCCCTTAAACCAGTGACAAAATAAAATTTTCTCTGCATTATTGAAAACCATGATAATCTTCTGAAGCAGTAACAGTTTAAAAGCTTTTAAAGAAATCTGTTCTGCTCTACAATCAGCTTTTAAGTGACCCCATTATTTGGTAAATCAGTGTCTTAAAAACCTCTAAATATTTAACATTTTTATCAAAAGAGCCAGCCTGACTTTTCACAAGATTCTTGTTTTTCAATAGTGAGAGAAATAGCCTAACTGGAGGTTTCTTTGTAAATTTACTTTTCTGATTGTTGTTCTCTTTTTTTTATTGATGCAAAATTATTTAATGCTAAAGCTATTTGGTAAACAGTTGGATGAATGGATTTGTGAGACACTGCTTATAAGCTAAGTAACACAGGTTTATATTCTAATTTATATAATAATATAATATTACTAAATGAAAAACAACATAAGTATTATAGATAGATAGAATTTTTACTATGTATTATGATAAACCTGTATCATCAGTCCATGTTGTGTTGTAGGAGAAGCCTAACTCCTAGATACTATTGGGGTAGGTATTGTGGAAATGCATAACATTTAATCCACAGAGACAACAATAACACTACTACCACAAGCATTTAAAGTAAACATCTTGTGCCACTTGGGTTTTTGCTTCTATCCTCTAATAACTGCATTTAAAACAGTTCCTTAAATGTCCTTTTAAACTCAAACAACATAATCCCATTAACCCCGAATCGGTGCTGCTCATTTCAAACTCTCATGATTTCAATTTTAAAACTATTGTTTTATGAAAATATTTCATATATTAATTAGTTTAATTTTTTGATGATCTGTGGAGTTTTGTGTTAAATGCAAGTTCCAAAGACAGTGTTAAATAATAACTATTACTGACTATTTAATGTTGCTAATGTGTGCATCTCAATTAAAAAATACTCCAAACCAGAAACTGTGCAAAACTGCCTTACATTTCATTTGGGGACAATAGGACAGAGCATGGGTCTACAAAATAGAATTTGATACTGGGTAATGAGGCTGTTACAGTAGATTCCAGTGTTACCATTAAAGTTTATAGAACTTTTTTCTATCCATTTGTGCAAAGTCATGGATTGTCTTCATTGTTTCATTCACTTTTAAAAGTGCTTGTTCCGTGTTTAGGTGAGGAAAGTTCAATATAGCCATATTTCTGTAAAATCAGTCAGCTGAGAAGTACCTACTGATCATAAGTCTATTCCTTATGCTTTTAATTTTTTTTCTGAACTGTCTGCCATGCTTCCTGATTTTGAGTGTGTTTTGCCAAACTCCATATGAAACAAAAGCTGTAGCATTTCATGGTTATATATTTGGGGATTAGGGATCACTTACTGAGCTGCTCCAAAGTATTTATATATATGAATGATATTTTCCTGATTTATTAAGAAAAAATACTGTTTACTTCGCAACATTTGTATGTTACAATAATATGAATTATGTATTGTAGCAGTAATTGCAGAATAAATCGTATTTTGAAAGGTCATAATCCCTGGTTTGATACGGGATCATAGATTATGACCTTTTTAAAAAGACCATTTGAACATGACAGCTATGTGGACATTCTCAGAATTGTTGCAAATGATCAGAGTTAAAGCGCACACTGGTAAGAGTAAGAAAAGTCTTTTTAACTTTACTTTCACATGTCCAGTCCTGCATAGAGAAAACTCATTGTGCCTGTGAAAACATTCTCTGTTTGCAGGGTCTGTTCTAACAATCTGAGTGTTTTATTAGAAATTATGCAGACACTACTTTGGAGAGTGCAGTATAAATGAATAGACACATTAATTAGATTGTGCTTATTAATATTTGGTTTTTAAAAAATTTCGACTTCAAAACTTTTTGAATCATGCTATCTAAACGTGCTGCTTTATCCTTGCTGGAATCACTTGACACTATTACTTCTTTCTGTGTCTTTGCAAATCCATGTACTATTTTTTAAAATTAAAATAACATTTGATTTTCACCACCATCTTTCTCTATAGCCCTGGCATTCCACAGGAGAAAAAAAAGTCATCATTTAATTTAAATTAAAAATATTTCCTGCTACAAAAAGCTTATTTGTAGTTCTCTTTTATTAAGCTAAGTGTGATAACCTCATCAAAAACATATTACTTAAAACTTTAATGATTTTAACTCTTCATAAAAGGCTTCCAACTGAAATAATTAGACAGTAATTGCAAAAATAACATTGTGCTTTCCATGGACTACTAGCATTCTGGGAAAGTGAGCTAGTGAAAATCCATGAGATGAGGTCTGAAGTATTTTTAAAGAAGTTTATGATAACACATGCATACACTTTCTGTGTCTGATCTTTGAGAATAAAGTTAATTACCCATATTTGTCGTGACAAAAGGTTTAAGTCTGACCAGTTCAACAGTTCATAACAATATGTCTGCTTACAATTTTCCTCTATTGACAACATTCCTAAGTGTTTGATTTGGTCTCTAAAGACAGATTCTGGAAAAAATAATTGCTTTGGACAAAGCACCAACTGGCTTTGAGGAACTCAGTTAAGCCTCATAGTTGTGGTTTCAATACTGGAAACAGGTTACAGTGAAATCAGTAGGTGGACTCCTTCCTTCAACTTGGACATCATAAATGTTTTCCCTTGTTACTTATCGTAGTGACATCTACACTTATTTACAGAATATTTATTGACATGAACTTTGTCCACTGAGAGGGAGTAGAATCCTTTATGTTCAAACTAGCTCTTGTCTATATACAGTTGAGTTATGTGTCTCTTCATTAGTAAATGGCCAGGCTGAATTTCTGAAAGGCAGTGCTACTAGTGTACTGTTGCTCAGCAGTATGGAAGAAGTCAATCTCAAGTGTAACACAAAAAGTATAGTCCATATCATGAGTATCTGTTTTCGAAAGTGTAAACTCCAATGGCAAAAAAAATAAATATGTGAATTACTGTAAACACTGCTTTTAGAGATGAATTGTAACTGAAGATTCCTTTTTTCTTGTTTCCTTGAAGGTGATTTTGCCACTCCCCGAGCCATCTTGACAGGACATGACTATGAGATCGTTTGTGCTACAGTTTGTGCTGAACTTGGTCTGGTAATAAGTGGTGCTAAAGGTAGAAGGTTTTCTGTTATCTTTTTAAAACTGTATTTTGGTCATAAAGTTATTGTCCTAGTTTAAAGGTGAATACAGTCTACGATGATGGAGATCATATTAATTATGTATGATTCATATAAAAAAACCCTTGTTTTAATTGGCACAGGTTTTCCTTTTAAGTCAATTTTAAAAACATCTTTTGACCATAACACATTAAAATTGAAGCCGATTCACGTGTATCTATAGAAGTACAGCACAGACATCTTCCCCACGCGGGTCTTCCAGTTACCTTGTTTTTGTTTATTCAGAAGTTATGAGACAATACAGAGCGAACTATCCTTTATGTGTTCCTGGCTCTCTGCTGAGACTATCAAGAATGTAATGTAATTATGTGCTTTGTTTTTGTTATGGATAACTCCTCAGGGGGAAAAGCAGTGATTTTTGTTGTAGTTATTTAAAGATATATTTGCATTCCCAACTAAAATTTGCAGTGGTTAGGTTCAGCTTCTCTGAGCTCATCTATAAGGTCCCTACTTTAAATCTTTCTTAAAGACCCATTTCTGCTGGGCTGCTTACAATGAATTGTGTTCACTTGTACATAAATTGCCTGTAGTTGTCCCCCTTCCCTACCTTTGTCTATTGATCTGTCCTCCTTGGAACAGAGACCTTCCTTCTTCAGTGTTTCAAAAGTTGCTATCATAGGCTGCATTTTCCAAGTTTGGCACTCAAAACTGCACACACTTTGTATGCTCGTAACTTACATAAGGGAATACCTGATGTATACCTGCATACTAATTAAGTTTTTGTCCATGTTCATTACCAATGAAGAATGTAGCTAGTCATATATGGGTACACATCTGATTTGTGAATGCATATCAGGAATTTGCACACCTAAGTTAGGTGCTGCAATTGTGAGGATGCAAATAAGTGCATCTTACCGTGAAAATCTAGCCTTCAGATTCAGTACAGACTTATTTTGTTGCATTCAGCAGAAAAATTTGGTAACTATCAAGCTTTCAGGGAAGCTCCTAAAGAGACTAAGGTTATGGCTACACTAGAGAGCTTACAGGGGCGCGGCTGCATTGGTGCAGCCGCGCCCTGTAAACTCTCTAGTGGAGCTGCTCTAAGATGACAGGAGAGAGCTCTCCCATCTACTTAATTAATCCACCCCCAGTGTTAGTGGGAGAAGCTCTCCAACCTACATAACACTGTCCAGCGCTTAGGTTATAATGACATAAGTGGTAGTGTGGACGTTGCCTTAAAGTAGGTGATTGCTTTAGTTACCCTAGTGCAACTCTAGACTTTTAGGAGATGAGACTACCAATGTGAAGAACTTTAGTATTACAAGAATGTACCTTAAATTTTCCATTTATAACACATTTTGAGTTAATTCAATAAAAGCCATTACTCATTGTTCTTTAATGTCTTTGGATGGATTTGATATGAAAATAACAAGTGCTTTTAATTCTGTTTCATCAGAAGGACCATGTCTCATACATTCTATGAATGGAGACCTATTGAGGACATTAGAAGGTCCTGAAAACTGCTTGAGACCAAAACTTATCCAGGCTTCAAGAGAGGGCCACTGTATCATATACTATGAAAATGGCCTTTTCTGTGTATTCAGTGTGAATGGGAAACTTCAAGCCACTATGGAAACAGATGACAAAATAAGGGTGAGTGTGCAGAAATATATTCTAAGGTTGTGTATGTCAGTATTTAAAATAAACTTAGGAGAATTCTGAGATTTTGGAATTGCTCAGGGTTTCTTTCCATGCAAACGGTGAATGAAACCTGTGCAATTTCACTAATGACTGCTACATTTAGAAGAGCTCCAAGAAATATGTAGTTGAGGGATCAGACATTGCTCATGGAATCATGTTTAACAGTGGTGCTGCTTAGGTAGCCAGCAATATATTGTGGGTTTTTTCCCCTCGGAATAAAAGGACATACAAATAATACCTGGTGTGCACGCACAGGAGAATTCAGGATGTTACATTTTTGTCAGCCTCTAAAGAGTCAAGATGACCAGTCACTCCAGCAGTGGGAGGACTACGGTGTGTCATTAGCACTGTCCATATTCCTGCATCTCATTTGAGATATTATGCGAAGGCTTTTTGCTAATATGCAAAATCACACATTCAAAAATTTTCATAAAATGTGATATGGAACAGAACAAAACTTGGCAGCTGTGGTAGAACTAAGCCGAAACAAGAAAAGGGAAGAATATTTTTAATTTAACTACTTAAAAAGAGAGAAAAAATTAAATAGAAATTTAAAAGATGAAGCAGAAGAAAACTGCTGCTTTAGTTAAATCCAAAATAGAGTAGGTTTTTTGTATTTAAAAGAAAAATGGGAGTGGAGGAAATGCTTAATAAAATAACTGTATGGACTTATTTTAATGTCAATATAAATATTCTCCTGCCATTCTAAAATCCCAACACAACAGCATTATGCTAATACATGAGAACCAGAAAGTGGTTCTCATCTCCCTCCCTAAAATACTCTTCTTCCAAAAAGCCTAAAACCTTGCCACAGCCACTGAAGAACTGTAAACAAAAGAGCTGAAATAAAATAAAAATTAAAGATAACCCCACCACTAAACAAAACTTGAAGAGCTAACAATACAGGTGTTAATTTGCACTGCTCAGTCACGCAACCCATCCTACTCTGTTGTCTAATTAGATTACAAACTCGTTAAAGAAGGAAGAGCCCTGTCTTCTTTCTTGTTTGTAGAGCAGTTGGCAGCACTATAAGAAATGAAATTGACCACAATATAACTGACCATTGTAGTTTCATTTTCCAAACTGAATGCAATGGAAAAAAGTAACAACCTAAATGGTGAAGAGTTGATTACCACAATCTGTACATAATAAAATAATAACAATTCTGAAGTGTTGTTAATGCAGGCAAGGATATTTTGGCACTGTCTCTTTTCCTTCTTGTGCAATATTTAAGATATCCTTCCTGAGTTGTTCTTACCCTCACACACCTGTCCTTCAGTCTTTCAAGAATTCTTTACCTGTGTTTTTCATCCAACTGTGAGCAGTGTTAAATTTGCATCCTTTGTCCTCACCTGACTCCCACAGATACATAATTTTGTTAAAACTTGTGTTGCAAAAGAGAGCAAAATTAAGGAAACTAGCTTCCAAACAGGTAGAAAATATTGAAATATATTTTAAAAGAATGTTACTAGCCTTAACTCTTTCCATGACAGGAACTAGCATTTTATGATTTCATATGCAGCTGGGACAAAATGTTTTAATGTTAACACTGGAGCTTCAGTTATGCCTTTCTCCTTCTTTTAGAAGTTGACATCAAACTCTTGTGTAAATTAAATTCTCTTAATCCACTATCCTAATTTTCTTGAAATTTTGGATATATAGGTTGTTGAGTATGCAATTTAAAATAGCTGTATTATTTGGTGTGTTTTCCATAGCCAGTTCTGCAGTGGATTAGTAGTCACAAAATGCTGAATTACACACATTTATTACTTAATACACTGTAAATGCAGATTTGTTTGAGGTAGGAGATATGTCATGAGAATTTGCATGACCCTGTCCCAGGCCTTTTTTCCAAATTGATATAGATTCTTGCTTCATTTTTAGTCTTTCTTCTCTTAGCTCAAGTTTCACCTTTTGCTATCCTTGCATGCGTGCTCGTAAGTTTCCCACCCTAGCCTCTGCCCCAATACTTCATTTAAAGCAAGTACACATCAGAGTGTTTTCTTTTGCTTTTCTTTTTACAATAATAAAGTTGATAATATGTCACTTTCAGTTGTGATTATATTGTCAGCTATGCTAGTAAATCTGTAAAATATCTAGAAATCCCTTGCTGGGTAAAACAATTTCTGTGGTGTTTCAGTCAGTACCCACGGCTTGGAGAATATTGCTTGAGGCAGCGAATGTTCCGCTCTCTGTAGGCCAGTAGTACACACTGTTGTTTTTCCCCCAGCAGTCCCACGAGGATTTTAGGTTTAAATAATCCACAACCTTCTTCCCAGGGCTTCTGCACTTTATCATACTAGAAGGCAAGTGGCAACTGTGTGATTAAAGTAGGGGCATTTAAAATGAGTAGGACCTGCCTACAGGCTGTGCAGACTGACGATATCACTATTTCTTGCCAAGAGAAGATGGAGGAATAGTGGGTCAGAAATGCAGTTGCTTATGTAAAGTAAAATTCTGATGTGTTTTCACATGTCATTTTGGGCTTAGACTGCAAGATATAGTTGACGAAAATAACAGTTTACAGTTACATTCCGAACAACGTTCTACAACTACCAGAAAAATTTGACTGTCTGGGGAAACTCAGGGTATAATCAACACTTTCCACCTGTGTTTGTTTTAAATACTGCTTCATGCAGCTTAGGCTAACAGCATATCCCAGCACATCTACCATGTAATGTTTAGTTGTCTTAATGAATAATTTAAATCTAAGTGGGCAGCCAGTTCAGAGAAGTAAAGTTATTTTATCCTAAACAAAGACAGTGCACTAATTCACCCAAAGGAACCAATTTATTTTCCTTTCCTGAGTCCTGAGATGGGGAAGTGCCCAACAGCCTCTTGCTGCCGTAAGCCAGTGCTGTCATGGTGACAGCTCTACTTTTTAAGAAGCACTGCCTTTCAAGAATCTGAGAGGTTAAAGGGTTTGGACAAACTTCTGAGACTTTTCAAGGAAATACAAGTCAGAAATGAAGCTTTTAGAACATTGCTTGAATTGAGTGCTATGGGGCTTCGTTTGCATGTCTGAATCTTATGTTGTGGGAAAGATTAGATGGCAGAACTGTTTGAGCTTATACTTATTAGAATCCTGGATAACTTTCACTGGGAGAAAAACTGAACAGTAAAATTGATTCATGCCTTCCCCATAATAGTTGGAGTACTTGAGAGTAAATGCATCCTTTAGTTTGTTAACTCCTATGGGCCATGTCATTAAACTGAAATTTTGACAGGGTGACCTTTGTCATATATATATCAACTATTTGTCTTCTTGAAAAGCAGGTGACTTAGGAAAGTGGCATAGATATTGGCAAAACCTCAAAGACTGTTCTTTATTTAATCAAGAGATCACAGAAATCATTGAAATTTGCAGGTAGTGGAAGAGTTAAAGATTAATGGCTTTAATTTGCCTTGTAATATAGCATTTCTCCAGTAAAAAGCCTCAAGTATAAAACACAAGTGAACCATGACCATAAGGTTAATGGATTTTCATCAGCTGAATTTTATAAGTGTAACAAATAATTATTTGTCATGCCTTCATTGCAATTTCAGAATACCCTCAGGAGATTGCCATTTGTGGAATGAAAAAAATTGATATTGATTTTACTTCTAATGAATAATCTTTTTAATAATTTTATTTGGTTTGCTAGAGCTCATGATGAGCTATCTTGGTATATGCAATTTTCTCTTCTACAGATTTTATTATCTTACCTCATTCTTCTCTCTGTCCCTAGCTTATTGCCTTGTTGCACCCTGGTTATATTGTGTGTAATTTAGATTCTAAGCTCCTTGGGGCAGCAAACATGCCTTCTTCCTGGTTTGGGAGGTGCGTCACACATCTTTGTGTTCAGAGGGAAATAAGAAATGACAAAAATAATAATTGATGGTTGGAACATTTATACCATTCAGAACAAGTTTCAATTCAGAATGTTTGAGCATTTAATTATGCCATATTTATATATGGCTTGGAAATGATTTACCGTGCCCACTACCTTTTTTAAGCATTGGGTACATTTGTCACAATCCTAGTTCAAAATACAGTAGCCTGGAATGGGTTGATCACCATTTCCTTCATAGCTTGTAAATACAAAATGTTATTGATTATCTTTAATTAAAAAAAAAAAAAAGCATTAGTCCTGAAACTATTTTGTTAAATAAAATGTTAAACAAAAGGGTTTGTCCCATAATAACAAGATGTCATCATAATAAACACTCAAAACTAAGGTTATGAAAAGTTAGTTATTTGATAAGAACCCTAATTCAGTGCTGCTGCACTTCCTGTAATTTGTAGAGTATTTTTAGCATCATCATAACATCATCATAACATAGCATCATTTGTGTAATAAGGCACAAAAATGGAAAATATATGGTTAACTAATTATTACCATGAAGACCATAATATTTTAGTTTCTACACTGTCAGTGTTCAACATAACCACTTTAATATTGCATTAATGGTGTATTTAGTATTTTAATTTTAATTCCTCCTGTTTTTGTGAGCAGGTGCTGCATATGTTAAAAATTCTGCAAATTATGAGCACTGCAGAAACATAGATTATAGTGTACAATACTTGTGATTGCCACAAGACCTTAAAGGGACCATAGCATAAAGCTTTCTGTGTAATAGTTTTTGAAAACTTTCATGTGTGTGAAGACCTCACCCATAGTTTTCTGTGTTGAAAACTGTGGATGAAATCTTTAAGTGCAAAAGAAACTATTTTGGTTTTCAAAACTGTTTATGAAGAAAATGTTTTAAGATATTGTGATGGGATTGTAGAACTAAACAATAAAGTTGTATTATGGATGGTTGCTGTAGCTATATTGGTCCCAGGATATTAGAGACACAAGATGGGTGAGGTAATATCTTTTATTGGACCAGCTTCTGTTGGTGAAAGAGATAAGCTCTCGAGATTACACAGACTTGAAGGAGAGCGCTGTGTAAGCTGGAAAGCTTGTCTCTTTCACCAACAGAAGTTTTTCAAATAAAAGATATTGCCTCACCCACCTTGAGTTTCTAATATTATGCATACACATTTTAAAATAGTTAGGACTTCATTATTATAAGCAGAGCTTCCCTGTAAGAAAGGTTGCCTAATATTTTTCATTATAAGACTGTGTTTTCATTTACTTATAACTTCTGCCTCACTTTAACCCTTTGGCTGGCATTTCCAATGCTGGGTGTCAGCTTCAGGCTGATTTTTTTTTTTTTAAAGTTGCATTTAAAATGATTCAGCTGTCTCAAAAAACAGGTTTTGGGGGAAATGTATTGTTTTGACCACGTTAAATTCTTACAGCTGTTTTGTTGAAAAACTTTAGTATCTCTATGCTTTCGATCAGAAACTCTAAATTTGGCAAAGATGTCATTCTAGTATCAGGGATGTGCTTTTTGTTGTCTTTGTGAAAATCTCCCCAAATTTGGTGAATTTTGGAAGACTCTGAAAAATCTCAGGTCATACATGTATGATGGAGACTTCTTAGGCTTGTCAGAGCTTGGCAGCTCAGTTTTGCAGGAGCTTGTTGGAGAACAGTAGGAGCCAGGAAACAGAGAGGAAGAGGGGAAGAAGCCAGGAGGTGTGGGGATGAAGGGAGGAGATAGGTGAAGGGAGGGAAGTAGGAGCCAGGGTGGGGGGGATGGATAGTAGATGGGGGTGAAGGTTGAGGCATGAGTCAGAGTGATGGGGAGGAGTGAATAGGAGCAGAGGGGGATGGGAGCCCCAATGGAGAATTGGACAGAAGGGTTTATAAGTACTGGAATATACTACCTTTCAGAAACTGGAATAGAAGCCAGGGTTTCAGCCAGGAAGCTGTGAGGAAAATAACTGTGGAACTCATTAGAAAAGTGTTTCTCATATCCTTCTGGCTGGGCCCAATAGAAGATAACAGCCTGCTATTGGAGGAGGAGGAGAAGCAGCAGCTTAACTAGAATGCAGAGGGGTGAGAGCAGGGAGGGAATTACACAAGCCGGGGGAAAGCGGAGGGGAAGGTGCAGCAGTTAGTGGTAAAGATCTGTGCTTTAGGTCCAAAGGTCCCAAATTTGCTGATGGTCTACCAGTGTGGGGGTCACTATGGAGCCACGTGATACAATCACTGTTTTTTTCATTTTGCTTCTTAAAAAAGGTAGGAAATTATAATAACCCATCTTTCCCCCTATATTAAAGAACATTAAGGCTGCCAAGTCAACACTCAAGTTTAGGAAATGCCACAATTAAAGTTGCCCGTGCACAAACAGCCTTCATTCTGTAAATTCCTAGTGTTTAAATGCTTCATTTTGCAACTTAAATGTTCTGTAGTTTAATGTAGTTTTTATATGTAATATCAATACTCTGTTATGTAAATATGAGTTTGGGATGGCCTATTTCTCACAAGTAGTGAAAGTATGAGTAAATTCCCCAGTTCATCCCAAATGGGGGTCAGCCTTTAGAGCACACTATCATTTATTCTGTGTCTGACACATTAGCTAAACATACCTTTTTAGAAGTATTAAAAGAGTATTAAAAATTTTCTTTTCATTCATACTGTTTTTTGTATCACTCCACCTATAAGGCCAGGCAACTTAGTTCTATGTGTCCAACTGTGCAGGGCTCAGGGGGAAAGAAAAACAAAAGCCGATAAACAGACCTCCAAATATGGCCTATATAAAAAAAATGAGGGCAACTATCTGAGGTTAAAGCTGTTTGGGTGAATATGAGGTGCAAGTACTGCAGCCTCCTGTGTTTGATTAGAAAATCAAATCTCCTGAGTTGCCCTCATACTTGATTTTTGGTGTGTGGAATAGTTGATAGATGAAATAAACTTAGGCCACTTGACCATCATTTCTATTGTAATTCTTGTAAAGAAACCGGTATATTCTGTAGATTTCAATGTTTACCCTACATTTAAGTTGTAATTGACTTCTTTGCTTCTCAAAAGTTATATCTACTGATACGAAGTGTCTTCAGAGATAAAGCTGCGATGGTGCAGATGGGGTGTTCTGGAGGTGAGAGGGGGAATAAAAGCAATGCAAGTTGTTTTAACAGAAATATTAATGTAATATCCCTTTAGGCAATCCAGCTGAGCCGTGATGGACAGTATCTCCTTACAGGCGGAGACAATGGGGTCATCATAGTATGGCAAGTGTGTGACCTCAAGCAACTTTTTGCTTACCCCGGCTGTGACGCTGGAATCCGTTCCATGGCCCTGTCATATGACCAAAGGTGAGATTACAGTTGGGGGTCAGAAGTATTTCATAGAATGTACTATTATAAAGAAACTACAAAAGGAATGTCATTATGGGAAAACCATTTGTTTTCCTTTCAATATTGTATTTACTTTGATCACAGGTGCCAGTGATAATATGGAGAATTCTGTGCACTGTTTTAGTACTGAAAGGTTATGGTTTAGGTCTGATAATCTTTTTCAGAGTTGCAGCTCTTGGTGGGTAAATTAACACTCATTCCGGGAAATCTGACTCTGACGAACTTTTAATATGTACTGTTTTTTCTTTCCTCAGAGGAAAAAAATATTCCTAACTATAGGTCTTCAAAGCCATTAACAAAAAGAAAGTAGACACTCACTCAGATTCCCATCAATCTTTTACATTTTGTTTTCTCTTACAAAGGATAAAACAGTAAACATATTTACTACTGCCTATATTACACCTACCAACTCCACTATGGTTAAAGGTCTTTATTCATTTTTGGCACATAGCTCTCTCCGGTTTATAACTTGGGTGTTTATAGTTGTATCCAGCTTGTCTTTAGCTCACAGACTACTACCTAGACTTTTGTTTATCCCTGATAACATTACAAAAGCATCTAAGTCACTAAATCTTATCAAAAGTCATTTCGGATCCTAGGCACTTTTAAAATGGGACTCTGCCCTGACTACACCTAAAACACAGGTTGACCTAGGTACATTGCGACAGGCTATGAAAAATTTCACACCCTGTGTAACATAGTTAGGTTGACCCAGCCTCCACTGTAGATGAAGGTAGGTTGATGGAAGCATTCTTTCATTGATCTAGCTACCATTTCTCAAGGGGCTGGATTTACTACAGTAACAGGAAAAACCCCTTCTGTCTCTGTGTCAATAGTACAGCAGTGTAGCTATAACACGTGTAGTGTAGACATACCCTCAGGCCCTAAGTCACTTGGTCACCTTTGACTGTTTTGACTCCTATATATAATTGTATTTGTCATTAATAATCTTTGGAGCAGGAACTCTCCCCTACTATGTGCCTAACACAGTAGGGCCAGATCCTGGCTCAGCCCTCTAGGTGCTACCCTAATAATAATAATAAATAAATTATTAACAATAAGGGGCCAAATTCTCTGCTGATGTAAATGCTGATGTAAATGCCTCTACTCCATTATTGTCAATAGAGTTTTACACATTTTCACCAGCAGAGAATTAGAAAATTTGTGCTCATCCAACACTCAGCCAAATTAGGGCAAAATATCTTCGGCTTGTCTGGGATGTTGGAGATTAAAGAAAGAGACGACTGTTAAACTGAGCGTTCATGAAATGAGGCAGGTCCTCTTAGTCTCCCACTGGGACAAACAAAATTTTTCTAAACAAATGAGCATCCAAGTGGGGAATAAAGAAATTAGACTAAGTGTTTTTAGCTGTTACACAAAATTGGACTGAAATCTCAAGCGTGCCAAAGACAGACAGAGGCCGGCCATATCCTGTAGCTAGTCAACCATTCACTAGGAACCTCACAAACCAAAGGTAAAGCTCAATTTTAAATCTTGATTAAACAGGAAGTAGAGTCTTTTATACTAATGGTAATCATTAAAAATGAAATATGAAATCCTTCAATGCCTTTAAGAATCAGACAGCTTATAGAATTGCCTAAATATGGATGCAAGAGCGAAAATTTAGGCATCCTCTTCGTGTTTTTAGATAGATAGATAGATTCCTGTCATATGTTCATTATGTCGATCTTAACACAATCCACATTTCAAAATGTTACATCGAATACTCTTTAAAACAAAAACAGTGACGACTATGGATTTTAATCAAGATTTTAACCCACTACTTACCAATTTGAAACCCTGCCCATCTCAACTTCTGCAAACCTTCAGTCTCCTTGAATCATGTCCTCTTCATCCTTGTACATTTTCTCATAAGCAATCACCCTGGAAAATGGCAGCTTTCTAGATATTAAAATGACTGGTACTGTCATTTTTCGCTGGAGCCAAATTCTACCTTTGAGGCCCTACTCGCATGGCTTTCTGATGTACCTGTTGGATCACTTCGGTATATGATGAAATAGTGTGTTAATAACTATAATTAGAGCTGATCACAATTTTTAACAACAGTCTTTCATCAAAAATGCAGTTTAATCACAATTGAAACGTAGGATGGACGTGTTGATTTTGATGAAGATTTTAAACAGGAAAAGGTTGAAATATGTCATTTCTTTAGTGTCATTGTGATTCATTTTGTTTTGACTTTTATATTATAATCAAATTTAGTTTTAGTATTATATATTTGATTTAATATTATGTATACATTTATAGTATATTTAATATAATGTAAACATCTAAATGAAATTAATTGAAACACCACTATCAAAATGTTTTGACACAGACAAAATGTTTTGACTGTCTCAAATTAGAAATTTTGGCTTTTCATAACAAATCAGAACAATTTTTTTCCTACAAAATGTAAGAATTTCTCATTGAACAGAGAGTCTGGTTTCCAACCAGCTCTAAGAGTAATGTCACAAAATGAGACAATAAACATGACTGTCATAACAACTCCTGATACATTACAAGCCAAGATGTCACTTCAGCAGCCATGATTGCTCTCAAATCTCAAGTGGGATCATAGCTGTTCAAATAGAGCTAAAATGTCTCCACCAGTCAGCTCCCTCATAGTAAAGATGTGGAAATACAGAATATCTCTGTGGTGGATGGCATGAATAATACTCCTACTTAGTGCTAAATACCAAATACCAGCACTCTGGTTGTTTACATGCCCATGAAATGAAGCTGCACATATGTATAAACAATAGAGATGTTGCAATTCTGTATGCACATCTTGTTCTTTGATGAAGATCCTGTGCTAAATCCCTCTTGAACTCGGGAAGGAAGAATTGAAATCTGCACATCCGGGATCCCCTCCATTTTGCTATTTCATTAGCACTCTCACCAGCAGAGTTAAAGCCATTATGAAAACAAAATCAGAAGTGGTCTGTGTGTGGTGACCCTGGTTTTATACAAGGTTAATTGTTCTTGTTATCTAAGTCTTGAGCCCCATTTGGTGCCCGGATGTGCCAGGACAATTTCTTTGAGCTTGATCCCCTCTGATCCATAATTCCATGTGTTAGACCAGTAGCAAAACAACTTGCCCTACAATTTCAAATGTGCCCACTAATCTGAGTCCCTCAATTATTAGGGTCCCAAAATTAGAGCCTATGGGACTTGATTTTCACTGGTGCTAAGCACCTGCAGCTCCAGTTGTCTCCTGCTGGAGTTGAGTGTTAAGCACCTTTGGAAATGAGACCATAAGTGTTAGAATTGTACACCCCTACATTAAAAATTTAGACCTTAATTATTCTTTTCCCCCATATTACTTCAATCTGGAAAGGAAGGTAAGTAATACATTCTTCAAAATGGTATTAGTCACTCTTTCCCTGAAGTCTGATTCAGTTCAGATCAGATACAGTAGAGTAAAATCATATAGGAAATAAAATGCTTTAAATACACTGCATGATTGCTGTGGAAATTTTAAGACCTAATCCAAAGCCCGTTGAAGTCAATGGGAGTCTTTCCATTAACTTCAATAGGAATCGCATCAGGTTCTTAATGTTTGAGTGGGTGGCATTCTTAGGCAATATCTATGCTACGAGCTAGGGATATGAGCTCTAGCTCGTGCAGACGTATGCTAACTCTCATGGAGCTACTGCACTAAAAACAGTAGCGTAGCAGAAGTAGCACAGGCAGTAGCACAGGCACCACAGGGGAGTGGTGGCAGGCAGTGGTGTATTATCACCTAGGGCGACAAATTTGCAGGGGCAGCAAATTTATAAGAGCAGCCAGAGGCGCCAACTTCCCTTAGCGCTGGGGAGTGCTTGTGGGCCCCTAGCCCGACCCCAACTCCACCCCTTTCCCGCCCCCATTCCCACCCCTTCCCTAAAGTCCCTGCCCCAACTCACCCCCTCCCTGCCCCTGTTGGTCCCCTTCCCCAAATCCCTGCCTCCTCCCCTGAGCATGTGGCATTCCCCCCTCCCTCCCAGCCGTGCGAAGCTGTTTTGCACACAAGCGCTGGCAGGGAGCGGGGAGAAGCAGGACCCAGCGGCACGCTCAGGGGAGGAGGCGGAGTCAGAGCGGAGGTGAGCTGGGGCGGGGTGGGGAGCTGCCAGTGGGTGCTCTGTACCCACCAATTTTTCTCCATGGGTGCTCCAGCCCCAGAGCTGTCACTGTTCTCTGCTGCCCATGCTAGCACAGCTACGTCACATGCTCGTTTGATGAGAGCTAGTGCGAGTATGTCTACATGAGCTGGGAAGCACAAATGTAGACGTATCCCTAGACATTTGATTTACAGAGATGGTGCTAGATCTGGTGGAAGAAGTCTGTCCAAGAAAGGTAAGTCAGCTGTGTTTGAATGTAAAGTGGCTAACCTTTTAACAGGTTTCAGAGGAACAGCCGTGTTAGTCTGTATTCGCAAAAAGAAAAGGAGTACTTGTGGCACCTTAGAGACTAACCAATTTATTTGAGCATGAGCTTTCGTGAGCTACAGCTCACTTCATCAGATATACCTTTTAACTGAATTTTGTGCTTTTCATAGGTGTATAATGACTGGCATGGCTTCTGGGAGCATAGTGCTTTTCTACAATGATTTCAACCGATGGCATCATGAATATCAAACCAGATACTGATGTTGCAGCAGACGAGAACTAGCACTGACATGGGCAGCTGCTGTCAGAATGAAACTGAACATAGCAAGCCTCTATTCAGTATCATGCCGCAGCATTGTTCTGTATAAATAGCTGTATTACATCTGAATGTAACTTAAATTTGCTCGAAGAAGCAAACTATTTTTTAAAGTTAATTGCTATTTTTGTAGACCTTGCATGATTTTTTGGGGGCAAAGGGCAAAGAAGCAGAAAAATGGCTGCTGCGTTCTGTAGTTAAAAATCTATATTTTTAGTCATTTTGAGAAGTCTATTTTGATTCATGTATGGAAAGAAACTTAAGATAAAGATGGTTAAATCTCTTATTCTAGCTATATTATGAAGAAATACATTTCCCATCTAAAGCTTTATCTATAACCTTGAGGAATATATGATTTTAACGAATTGAAAGTGGGTTATAATACTGGGGATTTTAATTTGTGCTACACTTTGTCTTGATGTACTTTTCCAAATGATTGTACTTCTTCAGCACTGAAGTTTCTGGGAATCAATAATGATATTTAAATTATGATAAATGTAATTTTAAACATGACAAGGAATTGTTTCCATCAATATTACTATTCAAGCATGTTTCTAGACCTAGACAATTAATTCTTTTTTTAGTTATATGTTTTTGTTGTGCAGTTAAGAGGGAGAAATCATCAACAGAGTCTGTGTTACATCAAATGTGAATCCTACTAGTTTTTACCTGATATCTTCTTCAGAGCACACCAAAATGTGCATTGTTCCTCAAAATCAAAACTTCAACTTGGGGAGTTTGGACACGTCCTCAAACTAGCAACCTACATAATATTTCTTTTTAATTTTTAACCGAAGCACACTTCTGCTGCTTGATTATGAAAGCACTAAGAGGCAGGCATTCAAATGTTCACAGCCTCTACATCTTTGCAGAAGCTCTAGACTTGCAAACTTCTTTCCCATTTTTTAGTTTTTTTCTTCAGAGGACTAACCACCATAGTTATATAGCAGATTCCATATCTTGTGCTGTGTATGGCAACAAAACTGTTCAGTTTCTGCTATCACCAAATCCAATCCAATCTTGTCCAATCATGTTAATAAATTATCTCCTCCCTTAGGAAATGAAAAATAATTTATACTAAGGAACAATAAGTTATTTTGGTGTTGCATAATTCTACTTTTCTACAAAATTGCTGTGCAGAATTCTGTGAAAATATTTGTGAAAAGAACTGTATTGTTTTGTAAGTCTGTATTGCATAAATAATTGTTTGTATGTTGTGATCTACATGAGTTAAAACTTACATTCCATATCTGTATCAATTTATCTAGCTGCCTACTGGAGCAGTTCCCATTTTTCTCTTTAAGCAAAGATTTGAATGAGAAAACTCAGTTTGAGTGAAGAAATTAAATAAAATGGCATTTGTAATTGAGACCTTCAATGCAGTGCATTGGGCTGCTGTGTTTTCCATATGTACATACAAAAGAGAAAACAGCCACCATCACCCAATGCATTTGCAAATACAAAGCAAACACAGGGTTTTGAGACAATAATGGCCTGATTTTCCATTGTGTTATACCATTTTTATGCTGGTACAGTATATCTATATTGATGTCAGTGGAGTTACACACTAAGGTGTAACAGAATGGAAAATCTGGTTAATGAAATGTGGTAGTCATTATCTCCACCTGATGAAGTGCGGAACAGTCACCCACTAATAAAATGCCTTGAATTGAGATTGTATAAAAATAATGTACTTTACAAACTTTTGCTATTTGCAAAATTCATATCTCTTTATAAATAGATTTTAAGCAGACATAGATATGAACTTGAAGTTTTTCTAAGGAGGAATATTCTCTGTATATGTTCGTAATGAATATATAAGTGCTGTGTAATGAGTTGGTTACTAATGTCTGCAGTGAGGGTCTGATGAATCTCCATCATCTATCATATTATCCAGGTGCAAAATACAGAATTTAAAACTTTCTACTTTAGTTTTCTTAGTTAATTTAGAACTGAATTCAGTAACACTAAAAATTACTCACTGAAATAATAAAAAGAACAAGGAGTACTTGTGGCACCTTAGAGACTAACAAATTTATTTGAGCATAAGCTTTCATGGGCAAAAACCCACTTCATCGGATGCATACAGTGGAAAATACAGTAGGAAGATATAGATATACACAGAGAACATGAAAAAATGGGTGTTGCCATACATACTCTAACGAGAGTGATCAATTAAGGTGAGCTATTATCAGCAGGAGAAAAAAACCTTTTGTAGTGATGATCAGGATGGCCCATTTCCAACAGTTGACAAGAAGGTGTGGCTCTTAAACTATTTCATGGGCACTTGAAATGGTAGAGATTTCAGCCTTTATTTTAAAATGGTTGGTGGGTTTCAGCATAGGCAATAGGCATTGGTGCAGTAGGAGCCCTTACATTGGGATACCATGCTGGGATTCTGTCCCAACACCTAAGCTATCTCAGACAACACTGTCAGACCTGTAGCTGCTAGGGTCTTGTTGGTCAGGAGAGTCCTTCCCCAACTGGAACATTCATATGATATTTATTGCTCATGTTCCAGTGCTCTTTGGGGTGGAGTCCAAGCTGCTGCATGTACACTGGGTGGTCTGTGGTGGTAACATGGAGCCTCCTGGGGAATCAGGATGTCTCCCTTTATTACAGCCCTGCTTTGAGCACAAGCTTTGAGGTTTGTCACACCCCACCTATGTAAGAAGAAATCTCCACCCACTGTTCTCCTAACTGCTTCCACAGACACACTTTAATTCTAGATCTGCAGTGTTGTAGCTGTGTTACATCAGTTCTAGACACCTTCCCTGTTGCCTCTGGTGGGCTTGAACATCCTTTCTGCCAGCTGGCAGAGGAGGCTGTGTCAAAGTTGTGGGGGTACCAGACTACATATTTAATTCTCAGGCACTGTATTGTGTGGCCAAATCAAATGCTTTCACTTGGGGGTGGGGGCTAGGGGAGAAAGTTTTATGCTTGGTTGAATTAATCCTGCTTAACACAGGTTCTTGTTAACACACACTCCTTTAACCTCCAGTATGATATTGTGTGCAAACAGAGAGTTAAATTCCCAAATACTATTTATCCATTAGTGTAACCAATGCAAAGTCTGTGCTAGCCCTCTTGATTAGATACAATTTAGTAAACTGGTGCCAGAGATTAAATTACAATTAAACAATTTTGAGCTGTATTATTTTTTTTTCCAGAACGCTGCTGAGGGAGAAGGGAGCTGCTACAAGGTGGAAAGTGAGTTTCCATTTTTGCCAAGAGGTCAATTTTTAAATTCAGAAAGGTCAAGCGTGGTTCACAGACTCTCTCAAACTCTGGTAATTTCATATTAACATATTTTCTCATAGAAATGGATGTGATCTCTGACTTACCCCAATCAATGTCTTATATGAACTTTTGATGAAAGTAAGGCCAGTAACACTGAGAACGATTAGAAATAAGTTAGAGATTTCAGTTTATTGTAGATTACTCATCTTCAGCGGCTTCATATCAGTTATGTTTCTTATAAGCCCATGGCCTGAATGTTACAGTATGTGAGTAGCCATTATGTTTTTATAAGAATGCTGAAGTCTGAGAACTGCAGCAGTGTACTCTATTCAAAGGTAAATGAACGTAATGTCAATCTGAGAGCCTTTCCTGAGCAGTCAGCAACTATTACATTATATAATTAAAAGAACCCCTCTGTCTACAAATTGTGCATTCAGCTAGTCTATGGAAAATATGTTTGTATTACAGTTATCCTGTCCCGCATCCCTGGCATTCCTCCAGTTTGTCTGCCTCACCGACCCATAGTGCTCTGTCTTAACCTAAGATTGCAGTCTCTTTGGGGAAGGGACTTTTATTAAATCTGCATAGCACCCAGCACAATAGATCCCTAACCTGCTTGGGGCCCATCAATGCTATTGTAATAAATAAATAAATACATAAATAAAAATGTTAAGAACCAGTGATTTTTATGTTCCACTAAAAGCAGCTATGGCTTACTTTGAAAAGGGAACTTGAAGTTGTCTTAGTAGCATGGAAATCCTTAGAGCTCTTCTCGATAGGAAATTAGTATGATTGTTGAGTTCCACATTCTAACTCTAAAAGTGTTCAGGTTGGTATTTTATTTGGAAACATTCTGGAGATTCCTTCCTGCTGTGTGGTGTAGTGTTCTCAGCGCAGCTCAAGCTGAGGGTTTCCAGCAAACAAACAAACAAAGAGAGGCTGCTCCATTTCTTCTACATCCGTGCACAAAGCAGGCTATTTTTCCAAGCACCAGCTCGTGTCAGCAGACTGGTAATCAATTTTTCTTTCTTTTAGCAGAAAAAGTAAATTGAGTTATTCCAAAACCAGGTGTACAGAAAGGAACATAGTTCATTGTGATTTTGGCTGGGACATACCTCCTATCAATTTCTGTATTTAGACATATTGTTTTAGAATGAGATAGAAATGGTGAATATCCAGATGGAGCAAACAAGCAACTCACAAGCCAATTAAGCCAAAAAACAAGCCCAATTTCTGTGGTTTTTTTCCACAGTTTTGGCATGTTGGAAATCTTGTAAGTCCTGAACTGAATACCCTCATCAATTCCTGTGTAGTAATAGTGTTAGTATGGAATGCCAAATAGTTTATTTTTGGGTGGACCTAATTTAGTATGTACTTGGGAAACTGATACAGTTGAAGGTCCAAATCATTGTTTGTTTATATGTCAAAATCTACGACTGATCTGTAAAAGCCCTGGATCAAAAACTATAGGAGATTGTTCTTGATTTTTGTTTATGTTGATTGAAATTTAACTGCACGTGGCCTAAGGCTCTGTAATTTAAGAAGTACAGCTAGTCCTGTGGGAAAAGCAAGGGGTAGAATATACGAAATTGAAAAGCTGGTCCAAAAAGAACAAATGCTCTCTTGTAAGCAGTTTATTTTTAAATGAGACTTATTAGTATAAATGTGTGTAAATTTTAGAGAGAGATTTTAATGACACTAATAAGCCTTATAATAAATATAAATTTATGGGGGAAATTTAGTAATAAAATTTTTTTGTAAAAGGAGTTTATCCAGATACCAGCATGTAGTTAGCGTTCTCCACAAGAATTGATGCCCATGGACTACAAAGAAGTTTTTACATCTTATAAAATGTGCAGCATATGAAAATACAGGTTTAATTGATGATAGCATTCCAGGTAGCACAGCAGATTAAAAACTTTCCAACATGGTTTTCTCTGGCAGTAATACAGCATTGCACAGGAATATAAAAAGAACAGATGCGCTTTTGGGATCTGGTTGTTTTCTGTTATTTTCTGTCTGCCTAAGGGAACAAGTTTTAGGTTAGGTTATTTACCATTTTCTTCTGGATTTTCTGTTTTTCCTCTCCTCTCCATTGGGAATGTGTGTGCTGTTTATCCTGGGCACAGTTCTGCAAGGTGCTGAGCTCTCTGGTCTCATCCAGCAAAACAGTTAACAGACTACTCAAATGTTTAAAGTTGAGCATGTGCTTAAGTGCTTGGCTGGGTCAGGGCAGTAGGCTCAGTGCCTTGCAGGGTTGAGTGCCGTGAGGGCATAGTTCACTTCAAGACCAACTTTTCCAAGCTGAATTAGACTTGCACACCCCACCTATTGTGAAACATACCTTCTGGGGTTTCAGAGTAACAGCCGTGTTAGTCTGTATTCGCAAAAAGAAAAGGAGTACTTGTGGTACTTTAGAGACTAACCAATTTATTTGAGCATAAGCTTTCGTGAGCTACAGCTCACTTCATTGGATGCATACTGTGGAAACTGCAGAAGACATTATATACACAGAGACCATTTGTTATGCAAAAGGTGTGAGAGGAAGAAAATTAAGGCTTTATTCAGCAAAGTTCTGATCACATCCTGCAGATCACATGCAGCCTATGAGAGCAGAAGTCTGAAGGCGAAGTAGTAGTTCTGATTGCTAAAGGGATAGGGCTATGTGGAAAACAGTCTGTGACCTTTCTAAATGGTGTGTAAACCAGTGTGCTTACTCTTTTCTCGTTCATAATGCCAACTAAAACTCTTGAAAAGAAAGGGGGAATTATTTGCATTGGTCTGCTTTTTCTGAAGATAATATCTTACAGGATTCTCACTCCTTTGTCTCAAGTAAAACTCCCCATGTTCCAACAGATTTTTTAATTAAGAATAGAAACAATTGTGGGTAGAAGCACCACCCTACCGCACTGGTCATTGCATGCCACCTTGGTTCTTAAAGCCCCCTTGGCATTGGGCTGCGTAAATGTCTTTAAAAGCTATATCTTTTGGGGGTGAATGAGAGTGACATTATCACCCTACTCTGTATAAAGGACTGCATCCCCACAATTGCCTCCATTCCTTCTGTACCACCACAAAGAACAAATGGAACTCACTTTCATGTCTTCAGGCTACACCTTCCATAGTTTAGCTTATTATTTTCTTGTAAATAGTGTAGAGAGTTAGAAGAGATCTTAGCATACATAACCTGGCTGTGTCCCAAAGGCCTTTGAACCCTCACTTGGATCATATTAGGGCCCAAACCTTGTAAGGGTTTCAAGAGATGCACCTCCTGCCTGTCAATCATATCAAAGATAGATGCCCCTGTCAAAGCCTTCTGTTTCTGGGCAAGACCCATGCTGTGAGCCTGTGTTACTCCTGAGGGAATTCCACACCAAAAATTTTGAAATTATGTGCACGCTATTTTAAAATTGTGCAAATTGTATTTGTCAATAAATAAATGTGGCTCCAGCATGGCAGTAGGGAGCACAGGCCACTGGCTGCAATGAGGTGGAAGATCACCCTGAAGCACCCACCTCCCCCAGTACAGGATGTTCGCAGTGAGGCTGCACCTGACCCTGACACAGTGCAAGGGCTGGGCCAGGCCTGCCCCAGAAATACCTCGGGGCCCTGCTCCTCTGTGCCAGGTGCACCAGGGGTGGGTGGGCAGGCTCAGCCCAGCAGGATCCAAGTGTAGAGGGGTTTAGAGTGGGGGGATCCAGAGGTTTCTGTGTGGGGCAATCTGGGTGCGGGTGGCTCTGTGGGAAGATCTGGATGCACAGGGACTTGTTGGAAGGTTCCCGGTGCAGGGGCAATGAGACTTTGCAGGGGATCCAGGTGAAGGTGGTTGGGGGGGGTTGGGTTTGGGGAGATGGGGCTTGGTGGGGGGTCTGGGTGCAGCTGCTTGGGGATAAGTGGGCTCTGGGTGTGGAGGTTTGATGGGCCTGCTTAATGTGGGAGCCCCAGCTGCTGCCAAGGTGATGCCACATGCTGGGCTCCCGCTCTCCCTCCTTCCACCTGCAATTCCCCTATCCCCTTTTCTTTTCCATCCCTCTCCCCTCACTCCCGCATTCCACCCCCTTCCTTCCCCACTGCCTCTTCCCTCACTCCCCTTCCCTCATTCCCCCCCCTTACCCAGTCCCACTGGTGGCACTCACTGTGGCACAGAAAACAGGACGGCTCCCAGCACACAGAAGGGGAGCACGACTGGCACTAGGACCCACCTGTATTTCCCTCTCTAACCTTCCCTTAACTGCATTCATGCCCAGGGAAACTCATCTCTGTACCTTAGAGATAAAGAAGGTGCTCTGTTTTTTACCTGCATGAAAACAAGCCCTTTAGAAAATCCAGTATGTTGTTTGTAGCACATGGGGAGATATGCCAGGAAGAACCTACTACAAAGCAAACTCTCTTACAGGATTAGGAAATGCGTAGAACAATGTTACATTTTAGCTAGGAAATCACTACCTCCTGGTTTAAAGACTCATCCCATGAGAACCTCTGAAGTTTCAGCAGTATGCCTAAGCCCTGGTCTACACTAGGACTTTAGGTCGAATTTAGCAGCGTTAAATTGATGTAAACCTGCACCCGTCCACACGATGAAGCCCTTTATTTCGACTTAAAGGGCTCTTAAAATCGATTTCCTTACTCCACCCCGACAAGTGGATTAGCGCTTAAATCGGCCTTGCCGGCTCAAATTTGGGGTACTGTGGACACAATTCGACGGTATTGGCCTCCGGGAGCTATCCCAGAGTGCTCCATTGTGACCGCTCTGGACAGCACTCTCAACTCAGATGCACTGGCCAGGTAGACAGGAAAAGAACCGCGAACTTTTGAATCTCATTTCCTGTTTGGCCAGCGTGGCAAGCTGCAGGTGACCATGCAGAGCTCATCAGCAGAGGTGACCATGATGGAGTCCCAGAATCGCAAAAGAGCTCCAGCATGGACTGAACGGGAGGTACGGGATCTGATCGCTGTATGGGGAGAGGAATCCGTGCTATCAGAACTCCGTTCCAGTTTTCGAAATGCCAAAAACTTTGTCAAAATCTCCCAGGGCATGAAGGACAGAGGCCATAACAGGGACCTGAAGCAGTGCCGCATGAAACTTAAGGAGCCTACCAGAAAACCAGAGAGGCAAATGGCCGCTCCGGGTCAGAGCCCCAAACATGCTGCTTCTATGATGAGCTGCATGCCATTTTAGGGGGTTCAGCCACCACTACCCCAGCCGTGTTGTTTGACTCTTTCAATGGAGATGGAGGCAACATGGAAGCAGGTTTTGGGGATGAAGAAGATGATGATGATGATGAAGTTGTAGATAGCTCACAGCAAGCAAGCGGAGAAACCGCTTTTCCCGACAGCCAGGAACTGTTTCTCGACCTGGAGCCAGTACCCCCCGAACCTACCCAAAGCTGCCTCCTGGACCTGACAGGCGGAGAAGGAACCTCTGATGAGTGTACCTTTTAAAATACTATACATGGTTTAAAAGCAAGCATGTGAAAGGATTACTTTGCCCTGGCATTCGCGGCTCTCCTGGATGTACTCCCAAAGTCTTTGCAAAAGGTTTCTGGGGAGGGCAGCCTTATTGCATCCTTCATGGTAGGACACTTTACCACTCCAGGCCAGTAACATGTACTTGGGAATCATTGTACAACAAAGCATTGCAGTGTATGTTTGCTGGCATTCAAACAACATCCGTTCTTTATCTCTCTGTGTTATCCTCAGGAGAGTGAGGTATCATTCATGGTCACTTGGTTGAAATAGGGTGCTTTTCTTCAGGGGACACTCAGAAGAGCCCATTCCTGCTGGGCTGTTTGCTTGTGGCTGAACAGAAATGTTCCCCGCTGTTAGCCACGGGGAGTGGGGAGGGTTGAGGGGGTAGCCACATGGTGGGGGGAGGCAAAATGCGACCTTGTAACGAAAGCACATGTGCTATGTATGTAATGTTAACAGCAAGGTTTACCCTGAAAGACTGTAGCCACTGTTTTATAAAATGTGTCTTTTTAAATACCGCTGTCCTTTTTTTTTCTCCACCAGCTGCATGTGTTTCAATGATCACAGGATCTTCTCCTTCCCAGAGACTAGTGAAGATTAGAAAGAAAAAAAAAAACGCACTCGAGATGAAATGTTCTCTGAGCTCATGCTGTCCTCCCACACTGACAGAGCACAGACGAATGCGTGGAGGCAAATAATGTCAGAGTGCAGGAAAGCATAAAATGACCGGGAGGAGAGGTGGCGGGCTGAAGACAGGGCTGAAGCTCAAATGTGGCGGCAGCGTGATGAGAGGAGGCAGGATTCAATGCTGAGGCTGCTGGAGGACCAAACCAGTATGCTCCAGTGTATGGTTGAGCTGCAGCAAAGGCAGCTGGAGCACAGACTGCCACTACAGCCCCTGTGTAACCAACCGCCCTCCTCCCCAAGTTCCATAGCCTCCACACCCAGATGCCCAAGAACGCGGTGGGGGGGCCACCGGCCAACCAGCCACTCCGCCACAGAGGATTGCCCCAAAAAAAGATGGCTGACATTCAATAAATTTTAAAGTTGTAAACTTTTAAAGTGCTGTGTGGCATTTTCCTTCCTTCCTCCACCACCCCTCCTGGGCTACCTTGGTAGTCATCCCCCTATTTGTGTGATGAATGAATAAAGAATGCATGAATGTGAAGCAACAATGACTTTATTGCCTCTGCAAGCGGTGATCGAAGGGAGGAGGGGAGGGTGGTTAGCTTACAGGGAAGTAGAGTGAACCAAGGGGCGGGGGGTTTCATCAAGGAGAAACAAAGAGAACTTTCACACCATAGCCTGGCCAGTCATGAAACTGGTTTTCAAAGTTTTTCTGATGAGTACCGCGCCCTTCTGTGCTCTTCTAACCGCCCTGGTGTCTGGCTGCACGTAACCAGCAGCCAGGCAATTTGCCTCAACCTCCCACCCCACCATAAACATCTCCCCCTTACTCTCACAGATATTGTGGAGCACACAGCAAGCAGTAACAACAGTGGGAATATTGGTTTCGCTGAGGTCTAAGCGAGACAGTAAACTGCGCCAGCATGCCTTTAAACGTCCAAATGCACATTCTACCACCATTCTGCACTTGCTCAGCCTGTAGTTGAACAGCTCCTGACTACTGTCCAGGCTGCCAGGCTTCATGAGCCATGGCATTAAGGGGTAGGCTGGGTCCCCAAGGATAACTATAGGCATTTCAATTTTCTGGTCTGGGAATAAAGTCCCTTCCTGAAGCTTTTGAAACAGACCAGAGTTCCTGAAGATGCGAGCGTCATGTACCTTTCCCGGCCATCCCACGTTGATGTTGGTGAAATGTCCCTTGTGATCCACCAGAGCTTGCAGCACTATTGAAAAGTACCCCTTGCGGTTTATGTACTCGGCGGCTTGGTGCTCCGGTGCCAAGATAGGGATAAGGGTTCCGTCTATGGCCCCACCACAGTTAGGGAATCCCATTGCAGCAAAGCCATCCACTATGACCTGCACATTTCCCAGGGTCACTACCCTTGATATCAGCAGATCTTTGATTGTGTGGGCTACTTGCATCACAGCAGTCCCAACAGTAGATTTGCCCACTCCAAATTGATTCCCAACTGACCGGTAGCTGTCTGGCGTTGCAAGCTATCGCCACTCGCTTCTCAACTGTGAGGGCTGCTCTCATCTTGGTATTCATGCGCTTCAGGGCAGGGGAAAGCAAGTCACAAAGTTCCATGAAAGTGCCCTTACGCATGCGAAAGTTTTGCAGCCACTGGGAATCGTCCCAGACCTGCAACACTATGCGGTCCCACCAGTCTGTGCTTGTTTCCCGAGCCCGGAATCGGCATTCCACAGCATGAACCTGCCCCATTAGCACCATGATGCATGCATTGGCAGGGCCCATGCTTTCAGAGAAATCTGTGTCCATGTCCTGATCACTCACGTGACCGCGCTGATGTTGCCTCCTCGCCCGGTATCGCTTTGCCAGGTTCTGGTGCTGCATATACTGCTGGATAATGCGTGTGGTGTTTAATGTGCTCCTAATTGCCAGAGTGAGCTGAGCGGCCTCCATGCTTGCCTTGGTGTGGCGTCCGCACAGAAAAAAGGCGCAGAACGATTGTCTGCCATTGCTCTGACGGAGGGAGGGGCGACTGACGACACGGCTTACAGGGTTGGCTTCAGGGAGCTAAAATCAACAAAGGGGGTGGCTTTACATCAAGGAGTATTTCAGGTAGGACTTCACGGAGGGTTCCAATAAGAAATGGTGCACCTAAGTTATTGTTCTTATTGGAACAAGGAGGTTAATCTGGCCTCTGATTGATACGTGGCTAGATTTATCTCGCTGCACCTTCTCTGTGAGTGACTGCAGTGTGACCTAGAGGAAAGAGTCCCCTAGATGTGGGGGGGGGGGAGCAAATGAGTACAAAACAAATCTGGTCTATTTCTTGTTTTGATCCACTCCATCTATCTTTTACATCTTTGGCTGGCAGCAGACAGTGCAGGACTGCATGCCATCCACATCACATGGCTGCCCGGCAGAAGATGATGCAATAGGACTGCTAGCAATCCGTATCGCCTGCCTGCTCACCATAAGACAGTTTAATAGGACTGACTGCAGGACTGAAGAGAATGACCTGGTCAAGTCACTCCAAATTTAGTTCCTGTGCCCATGTCTGCCCAGGCGCTCCTGGCCGACGTGGCCAGGAGCACCTCGGACATGACGATGACGGCTACCAGTCGTATTGCACCGTCTGCTGCCACAAGGCAGTGGGTTCCTGCTACTGTGTAGCAATGCAGTACTGCATCTGCCAGCACCCAGGAGACATAGGGTGATGGTTACCTGAGAGGGCTCCATGCTTGCCGTGGTATGGCGTCTGCACAGGTAACTCAGCAAAAAAGGCGCAAAATGATTGTCTGCCCTTGCTTTCACGGAGGGAGGGAGGGAAGGAGTGCAACGCTCTGGAAGTCGACTCTAGCCTCGGTACTGTGGAAGCACTCCACCGAGTTAATGCACTTAATGCACTTAAGAGCATTTTCTGTGGGGACACACACACTTGAATATATAAAACCGATTTCTAAAAAAACAACTTCTATAAATTCGACCTAATTCCGTAGTGTAGACATACCATAAGGCAGGTTCCCCTGGTGGAGATATGAAAGTAGCATCTTGAAGTTTGGTGCATGCTTTCACCAAACATTACTCATTGAATTTATTATTGTGCTCCATTTAGCCTAGTTTGGGAGAGTGGTGCTGCTATTCATATTTGGCTAAGAACTCCTCATCCACCATCCTCCTAGTGGGGCACTGCTTGCTAATCTCCCACAAGTATGATGCACAGAGGTCCTCGAAGAAGAGAGGTTACTTACTAGCAACCGTTGTTCTTTGAGAGTTGCCTCTATGCATTTACACTGCTGCCCACCTTTCCCTCTTCCATATATCAAGCTCTGCGGCTGCAGAGATGGACTGCCCCTGCTCTTTCCCTCGGACACAACTTTTCAAGGCAGATCCACAGCTTGATGCCAGGGCGCCATATTCCACAGTTGTGACTACCCAACAGTTACTGGTAAGTCACCTCTCATTAGTACCTCAATAGGTAGAGCAATGAACATGTAAATATAACCACAATCACAAGAGGTTTTCTCTGAACTCTGAAAGAAGGAGGGTGTGTGTGTGAATGAGTGAGAATCCTAGAAGAGCTCAGAGATAGAGAATTTCAGGAAAGCAAATCCTCTTCTCTGAAGGTACAATCTGTGCAGGAATCTTACTTCTGAAGAGTACCCTGCTTGAAGGATGTTGCAAAATAAAATGAGCAACTAACTGAAACCGTAACTGCCTCAGAGCAAAGCCAACAAAAATGTTTTTTGTGTGGTTTTATTTGAATATAAGTGTGTGGTAAAACCTCCCAGGTCTGAACAGGTGAGTAGCACCTAAAATTTCCACATTTCTGGACATATAAAAAAAAAATTGCCAGGTGGTTGAAGAAGCTTGTGCATCCCTGTTGAAAACCACTTCTGCAGAACTGGAAGTAAGATTCCTTTCTAGAGGCAAAATCAAAGCCACAGTGCTTTGTAAATGCATGGAGCAAGAACTGTGTGGCTGCCTTCCTTATGTCTATAATGGAAGCATCCCTGAGACATGCATCTTATGAAGCGCTCAGGGCACCAAAGCACCAAGAGGTGCTAAACAGAAGGTCTGGGGTGCAGAGTCCAAGGTAACCAAAGCCTGGACAGTGCTGCCCCTTTGGTGCTCCTCAGCAGTCATGTGCCAAAGAGCCACATGGTTACCAAAATAATAAAAGACTGGCTCTAACAGGCAGGGGCCAGCAAAAAAGATGCAAAGTGGAACCAGATGATAGAGCACAGATTCTGTAGAGAAGGTTTTCACTCACAATAGCCAAGAAGGACCTGATGGGAAGGTTTCAAGGGTGGTGATTAAGCTCTGGTGCAGCATGTGACCACAAAGCAGGGGGCCTACTGCTGCCCTTAATACTCCAAACTCCTTTAGAGTTAGGCAGGCAGAACCCCTCCTCCCCCCATCTTATAGTCAAGAGCACAGACCCTGTGCAGCTGGGACCTTTGGAGAGAGGTCTTCCTCTTTCAGCTTCTCCATGTCACAAACAATGACTTCCCCCATCATTCTTATGTAACACAAGCCAGCAAGGCTCTTGTTCTATTGGCTTTCCTTTTTGTTTTATGTCAGCGCATAGGAGTAGCTAATGTCTGCTGATTAACAGAAGGGAACAGAGTTTTCTCACTCTGATATAAACAAGTGGTTGGTTTGTCTAAATTCTGAGGCAGTTTTTTTTCCCCCCCTTTAAGTATTTGCACTTGTGGACAGCACTCAGTCAGGCCCCAAACATGACCTGTATTCACATTGAAAGGAGCACAAGTAGAAAAAAATGTCTGATGCAATTTGCTCATCTCACTTCTTCTACAATGAGTTTGTATTAACTTCAGAACTCTGCAACTGTTTTGAGTTCCCAGAGGTCAAGAGAAGTAAATTCCAAGGCTATATGTAAGCTCAGTTTATTCTCCAAAGCACCACAGTAAAATCACAATTAGTCTTTGATAGCAACTTAGTACAGAGAAGAAGTTTCCCCCAGTGCTACCTCTCCAATGATTTTAATGAATGTATTATTTTATAATTAATTCAGAAATGTCTGGGAGCTTCACAATGGCCTCACCATGAGGATACACTTTAGTCACCAAACAATGTAGAACACTTGCTGTAGAATGTTCTGCAAATATGTCAGCTTGGCTTTTATCTCTAGAAACAGCATAATCATGCTAGCTGCTGAGTTTCCTCCAATCTCAAGTGTACATCCAGTGAATAGCATGAAACCAACAGGGGCTGACAGCAGTCGCTGCCTTGTATCATCTGAATCTAAATGAGGAACAGGAATAAAAAAATTGGTAAATTAATTTTCTAATGCATAATTTATAACACTAGGGAAGGTGCAAAGGGATAAGCTGTTCTAAACATCTGTTAATTTTGAATACCTAACTTCAGCAATTGGTCTTTCCCATTTTCTGTTCATCAGTGGTTCAGTGAAATGGAAAAGTGTATATCTACATTTAAGATAGTCAAAGTGTTTTTACTAGGCTATTGAAATACTTACTAGATACTGATAGGCATGAGTCAATGGTGACTGGTAGATAAATCATCTTGTATCTTAATGCTATATTAACAGTAACTAATTTAATTCATATTAAAGAATGGGAGCCAGATCCTCAGCAAGTGTAAATCATTGTGGTTTCAACTGGAGGTAGAGTAATGATGACTTACACGAGCTGAGAATTTGGCCATGACTGTTTAGCTTTGGAGGGGGAGAGATATTACATCTAGAAATGAGTGCTTTGGTCCCCAGATAGGTACTTATAGGATATATATGCACCTGTTCAAGTTCGAAGGATGAAGCATTGTAGTCCATAGAGCTAGCTAGTTTTAGCATTTATTTTATTCAGCAATAATGTAAGGAACCTACAGACCTGTATCCTGTGAGGTATTCATTTCAGCAGTTAGCATAAGGCTTGAGGCTTATCAACTTTGGTACAGATAAATGGCCAACCGTCAGCCCTAAGTTTTGGAGAACTGAAAATAGTGTGTATAAGGGAGATTTCTGTGCATAATGACACCAGCCAACTGCAGGAACACCAGCTTTTGGTTAGAACACTCTCAGATGTCTAAGCACAAGAGTACCATGGCAACTAATTGACCTATATGATAATAGGTTGAAATCATAAATATATTAACCTATAGAAGGAGGACACCCCCATCTTCGTAGGGGGAGGAAATTCAAATAAGAAACCCCTACTGAATCTGCACTAGGCATATATATATATATATAAGCAAAATATAAAAGTTGTATCCCAGCCTGTGTGAAGGAGGAGAGAGGGAGGTAGCCCTTGGGCGGTGCCAGAATGCTGGTCACTGGTGATGAGGAAGATAATAGCTAATATTTCAGGTTGTTCCGCAAGTGATGAGTATATTGATTTTCAAATGTACATTTTGTATTATTTCTGTCTATCAGTCACAAACACTCTAGCCCAGTAAAATAAACTATTGTAAATATAGTTCCCGTAGTGTGAGCGTTGCAACTATGCACATCAGGGTTCCCAACTCCACAATAATTTTAAAATATTGGGCCTGATCTTGGGACAAGAACCTGTTACACCTGCGTGACAACTGGGAATTCTTAAGTACTCTAATCTATAGATCAGGCTACAGAAGAATTAGCATTCCTATTCAAGTACCATTTAAAAGCAGGCAAATAACTACCCGTTCTAACAACCACCCACAGTTGATAAATTAGGAAATGTAATTCCTAATTTATCAACAGGCATCTGCTGATAAATGTAATACCTTTTATAGAGGACAAATCAGTATGTAGGCCAGGTTTGTTCTATAGGAGAGAGATGGTACAGGCCTGAAGAATAGTTCTGTGTAAGCTTGAAAACTTCTCTCTCACCAACAGCAGTTGGTCCAAAAAAGATATTACCTCAGCCACCTTGTCTCTCTCATATCCTGCGACCAATACAGCTACAATACTGCATGCACGTTTGTTCTATGAAATTTTATACTTTTTCCTGCCACTGATATTGTTTTCCTCTATGATTTCATTGTAGAAATAAGTGGAGAGGGGGAGAGTTTGCCTCAGAGCTATGCTTTCTCATGGTATGTTTGTCTTTCAATTTTCCTCATTCCCTTCTGATTTTTGGTGTTTCCATTTGCATCCTTTAGGAACATCATCTCTTTATTGCCCTTGCCAACACTTCAAAACCTACCAATTTTAACCTGGCACCAGCTGTTAGTCTCAATCCTCACTACAACCACCATCTTCAAAGCAGATGATTTTCTTCTCTTGTCGTTGTCTCTCTCAGGACTCTGTCCTTGGCAATACCATTTAGTTGCATGGCTGCCACTACAATGATGACAGACCAATTTACCTTTCCATATGCCTCCCTGACATTGGTTTCTGGATGTTTCACTAACCACTCAAGCTCAACCATCACTATTGCTGATAAGGGGTAAAAACCATAATGTCATTTTTTATGAAGACAACTTCTGCTACTTCAATACTGTTGCTACCTTCAGAACCCACCTGTGACCTAAAATAATCAGCTAGGTCCTTACCACTTTTCAACTTCTTTGGGTCTCCCTGCCCTCCTTGATTGCTACTCCAACTGTCTAGCCCTTTATTGGTTCTTCCTCTTTCCCTCCTTCACTCTGCACAATCACCCAATTCATTCACTTTGTCCTACTCATCTGTCACTTTCAGCATACTGCCCCCTATGCTAGAGACACCCTACATTGCATTATAGCCAGCTCATCTAAAATCACACTTCTTCCTCTAGGCCTTACCTAAGACATGTTAAATGTAAAATTTACAAGATGTATACTAAACATCACTGTCTTCATGGTGTTTCACTAGTTTCTGAGGCTGAGATGTTATCTTTGTATACTTTTTGTGTAATACAATGGTGTGGATGGGGTCAAACTGTGTTCGTAGCAGTACTTTAATCTAGGTCTTTTTTTAAAATGAGGGTATAACACAGAGTCCAGGCGAAGCCACCTTATCCCAGTAACAAAACTGACTCCAAAACCAAGTTTAACAGAACTACGTTTTAATGAACTATAGACACGGTCTTAGCGTTTGCTCTACATCTTAACCAGCCAACACTTTTTCTTAGACCAAATTACACCAGTCCTTTCCAGCAACAGGCTGTGTCCGAAACTCAAGTTATCTTTGAAAACGGAGGACTGGATAGGTGATGGGCTCCAAAAGAAACCAGCACATCTTGAGTCAATCAGTCCTAGTGTCAATTGTTCTTTTGTGAATGGTTTGAGTTGTTCTCTCGTTAGCTCAGAATAAGTGTCTCCAGAGGGACAGTTGTTCCTCACTGATCCGCTCCGCCTTGCCCGGAAATTGAGTTCTCACAGGAATAAATGACTCAATAGTCTTTTCATAAAGAAAGTTTATTATTGCAGGTCTGTTACAATTCTAGTAGAAAGTAAAAGCTAACAAAGAAAATGAACTAGGACCAAGCAGAGGAAATACACTATTGAATGCAGCAGTATGATAAAGATAAAACACCTTCGATCCGTGCCTCCCCCATTATGGTTTTCAGTTCCTACACTAGATGAAGAGGGGGATGGTAATAAAATATTGGCAGCTATTTATGGTAGCTAGTGGTAGTTCTGCTATTAGTCAGCTTGCCCTAGAACTGCTCCATCCTAGCTTATGTAACATGCAGCAAGCTTTCCATTCAAAGAAGTTTTATTGTTTCTAATACATACTGTAGTTGTGGGGGGAGGATACACAATAGCTAGAATGAAAAGGCTTCCTTGACTGCAGTCTTCGGCCCAATAAATGCCCAGAGTTCCTGTTATTACATCCAAAGTCACTTGAAGTTCATATGATCTAAACACTATCTTGAAGTCTGGTATTAGAGAAGGGGTCCTTTTCCTTTGAGAAGCTTGTCTTTCAATATTGTACAGTTAATCCACTGCAGTTTTTCATGGAAACTTGCCTCTTCAGCTCAGCTAAACTCAACTCACTGGGACAGGAGACAAATACAGCTTTTTGTGGGGGCATACCCCTTTTCTGGGAACAAGTTCTGTTGACTTAGAGAGTCTGTTTGTGCACAAGTGAGGCCTCATAACTGTTCATCTATGTGTTAGTTTAAGCTATTCAGATTCCTAGGGTGTGAGAAATGCATTTCATTAAACCAACTCCAATGATAAAAACAAATCTAAAGATTCAGAAGGCAAAGGCTGGAAGAGCACTCAAAGCTACAGCACACACTTCACCCATCCACCTATTGACAGTCTGCCTGGGGCTTGCCACAAGAGAGTGGAAGCAAACTGAAAAACCACAGCTGTGATGGATGTTCATTAAGTTGAAGGGGTCTACTGGCCTAGAAGTGGGCTTTGGTTTAAATCACTTCTATAGAGCGAGCTGTTCCCCAGCATTGTCATGACATGCCGGGACAGGCTGTGTGGGGGATTTGATTGGCTCAGAAGAAGCAGGGGAGAGGTTCTTGGACCCAGCCACATGAGGCTCTTCAGCTGCAGCAATAATCACAGAAGTTTTCTGCATACCAGCTCTACTAGAGTCCTGAGAGCGCTTGTTGCAGAAAATCTGAATTTCCTTATCTAGAGCTGTGTTCTAAAAAGGAAGGTAAAAGACAAAAACCGTTACATCAAATGACACATATTACCTGCCCCCTTAAACCATTGCACAACACACACCTTTGGGGCATGCATTAGACTCAGAAAAAGGAGAAATAACATCAGAAATCTTAATCAATTGTAGGGTGTTTTGGTGATCAGAGGGATAACTTAGCTCCTATGCATGCCACGGCATCCAGCAGGTCATTAATAGAACCAAGTTTGATGAAGTACTTTTAAAAAAAAAAAAGTTAAAACTTTGTGTTACACCACCATCTGGGGAAGAATTTCTAAGGATTCATTTTCACCAAAATTCCTAGTGTGACTGTGCTACCAATATTTTAACAAGGAACACAACCATTTCCAGCCTGTGACAAATCCCAGGTAGCTGCAATTGAGGTCTCGGGAATCTGTTTCCTCATTTAAACTAGAACACTTTTCCTCTCATACTTTGTTATGGGTGTTAAATTTGCATGAAGCTGCATTTTACTGGAAATAGTTGTGGGATAATTAACAATGTAGCAGCAGAAGCATGGGGGATTAAGATGTACTAGGGGAATTGTGAAGTATCTGCCCTGAAATTTTTTTTTTTTTAAAGTACCTGATGCTTCTGCTAAAAGCCTCTGCAAGATAAATCAAACTGTAACTAAATGTTTAATTTACAGAAGTACCTGTCCCTAAGCAGGTCCTTGGAGAAGGGAACATCTTCAGTTAGGCTTCAATACTGTGTGAACAGGGCTGACTTCGTATTCGGTTACCTATTTGCAACTGGCTGGGGCCCAGCTCAGGAGGTTTAATGCTGTTTTTCCTGAGGGAGATCATTCTATACTGCTGATCACTCCAGTGACTGGTTCTGAGCAGCATAGAGGCCATAAGCATCAATGGTGCATGACAGGATCCAGCTTACTGGGTGCTGACTCTCATGAGATGACTCGCAGGCTTGCCCACTTCAGTGCTGCTGATCTTTTTCTTTCCTCCCCTACATTCTGCTATATAGTCCCAAAGCTATAATTGGGTGGCTTGGGGAGTTGTTTGGGTAACACTGCTCATTTCACAAGCCCTCTTGTGAACATGTGAAAGTTAGTCCAGAATAAATCAGGAATAGTTAGTCACTCTGGACTAGCTTTAATGTGTAGACAAGCTCGAAGGCACAAAGATAGCCATTTACTTGGAAGCAGTATGGGCCATCTTGCCTCCAACCTTCCCTTTCACAAAATATGATGTTTTGTAAGGTGAAAAATAACCACTCTGCCTAGATTTGCAGAAAATTTTCAGAGATAAACATTTATATCATTTTACTTAGTGACTTTTGTATCTGGAACATCACTGAAAGATGTTCTTTCACTTTTATGCAGTTCTAAAATTCTGCCTATTTCAGGATAGCTGTTATTTCTCCTTTTCTCTTTTTGTTAAACTCAGAACATGTATTTTGTGCAGCAGAACGAAACATTGCAGTTAGTACATACCATTTCCTTGGACCTACTCAGAGGAAAGCAATGCAGGCATGGGGAAAGGAAGGAAGCAAGGGATAGAAACTACACTTACTTTTAAGCAGAACTATCATCATTGAAACAAATTTAGATTTAAAAATCATACTGAAATTCTTAAAAAAAAGTCTATAAATAAAAGGATTGTACAGCAAGACATTCTTAGCAGCAGAAGTCGTGCTCGCCCTGTAGAAGGCAGCAGGAACCAGATTTCTTGTGCAGTTCCACTTATCTACCACATGATGGTGTCATTTGCATTAACTGTGGCTGAAATTCTTCTCTAAGGTTTTCAAAGAACCTGTATTAGAACTAAGTGGCTACATCAGGGGTCAGCAACCTTTCAGAAGTGGTGTGCCGAGTCTTCATTTATTCACTCTAATTTAAGGTTTCGCGTGCCAGTAATACATTTTAACGTTTTTAGATGGTCTCTCTCTAACTTTTTTTTTTTTATTGTTGTATGTAAAGTAAACAAGGTTTTTAAAATGTTTAAGAAGCTTCATTTAAAATTAAATTAAAATGCAGATCTTATCAGCTTAGTGCAGTAGTTCTTAACCTGGGGGGCGAGATTTTTTTTAGAAGGTAAATCATGGAAAACACAAATTAAGCACAGGCACATAAGTACAACTACTTTGTTTCATCAAACCGATGTATTTATTAACATTTGTGTAATGATTACTGTAATATACAAATAAAGTTTTTAAGCTAATTGTAGTGTAATTTTTGATAAGGGGTGAGAGAACATATTTTGAGAACTCAAGACCAGCAGCAGGTGTAGTGTATTAAATTGCTTCCCATAGGAACGTGCTACTTACGGTGTACTACTTAGGGCTGCCAGTCCTGATGCTCTGAGCAGCATGGTAAAGGGACAGGGAACAGGGGTGGTTGGATGGTGGGGTGGGGTCCAGGGGGTTGGGGGGTCCCAAAAGGGGGCAGTCAGGAGACAAGGAGCAGGGGGGGTTGGATGGGTGGAGGGTTCTGAGCAGGGCGGTCAGGGGGCAGTCAGGGGGTGGGAAGTGGGCCAGCTGTTTGGGGAGGCACAACCTTCCCTACGCCAGTGTAGCATATTAAACTTCTCCCTGGAGGAAAGTACTACTTACTGCTGCCAGGCCTAGTGCTCCGCAAGTAGCCCATTCCTACAGGGAGAAATTTAATACACTCCACTGGAGGACAGAACCCCAGACCAGCGGTGGGCTGAGTGACTCAGCCCACTGCCAGTCTGGGGTTCCATCCGCCTGCTCCTGCCAGCCGGGGTCCCGGCCGCTGGCCCCACTCAGTCCGTTCACCCAGGCCAGCAGCAGCGTGCCAGTAAAAATCGGCTCACGTGCCGCAGGTTGCCAACCCATGGGCTACAGCATGCTAGAGAGACGGTTTTTACTGAACAGTTTCCTCACATGTGAAAGAGAAAGTGATGTGGCTTTGTGATGCTACATTTCATTTAAGGGACTTGAAAAAACAAACTCTGAACTGTGGATAAACCAGCGCAAAGATGAGGAAGAAAAAAGGTTTGGGACTAAATTCTTATAAGGTTCCTTTTTCCACTAAGTATCTTAATCGGAGACTCAGACATTATCCCTAGTCTTCTCTGCATATTCAGTTACAGAACTAGGCAGATATGAATTTTCCTTACTACTTGTTAAAGGGAGATAAACAAAAATAAGTTTTCACTGGCTACATAGGTAACAGAAAAAACCCACACCAAGAAGCAGCCAGATGCTGTACTGATTCAGAGATCTGAGACAAGCTTAAGTGGCATGCAAATTGGAGAGGGGCTGAGAGTTAGAATTAAAATTGCTCTTATTAAATTTTGTACCAGCTTTCAGCTTCAGGCTTATCCAGTCTCAACTCTATAAGAATGAAGCTCTGAAGTCCCTCTCAAACTGTCCAGTCAAACTGTCAAATGAAATGTAGATAACAGCATCAACCTGAAATCAATATTGTCTTCACTCTTGTGAGTATTCTGATGTTACTACAATCCCTACTTTTGAACTTGTCACCTGTTCAATTCATATATATGTACGTGAACAATGTAAGTGGGCAGATTAATAAATATTTGTAGTTGTCTACATGTGGAAAATTTATTTAAAAGTGGGACAGTGACACTACACTTACTAGGCCATCGTATATAATTGATACAGTGGGGGAAAAACCTCTGGCTACTAACTGTGTCAACTTTAAGTTGCCAGAGTGGTATATTCCGTACAGCAAATATATAGCTGTACAATATAACTTCTTTAAGGTATCTGAAGACACATCCCTGGGATGGAAAAAAGACAACCACTTGCAGGGGTGAGAACAGTCTGCATAGCTGGTGGAGCACTGCAGTGATGACTAGTCAGTAACAAGTTTACTGGTGAATTGTGGTGTGTGCTTGTATTTGCTAGGAAATGGAGCTGGGCTGAGCCCACCAACACAGCTCACTGTTGTTGTATAGTATTTTTTTGCACAACTTTTGTAAATTCAACTTAGATGAATTTTATATAGAAGAATCTTAATGCACCCATGTTTCCCATCAAGTCTGGCTTCTGATCATGTTCATTAGCAGAGATTAGATGGGGCCAATCATTAATTTTTTTGGATGTTTCCCAGAGTTAACCCAGTTTATGATGAGGAAGTGGGTTTTAGATAGACTATTTGCTCCAGCAAATTTAGTCTTGGGGACAAAAGGTGCTACAAGAAAACCACCATTAAAATGATAATGGAAAGGATTTCAGTGATTTTCAAACTAGCAGGTGAGCTTTATGAATTATTTTTGCATTGAGAGAGTGTGTGTGTTTAAAAGAAATATCTACAGCTCAGTTAATGCACCTCAATACAGATCTGGCTGCTCCTGAGCAGTGACCAACTCAGATTGACCTGGGGGACATAGTACATAATGTATAGACTAGAATTACACACACACACACACACACACAATAGCATGTTTGTTTTTGCTAGTGCATTTGTACCACTCTGTTCTTTAAATAATCACTCCTGGGTTAAAACATGTTAGACAAATAGACACAAAGTCATATCGACATATAGAAGTGCTACATCTGCTTACCATGATGACAGAGACCCCAGCGGTCGTACTGTTCTGCTTGGATAGCATGTTGTTAAAGTGCTGCTTCAGTTTACCTGTTACTTCAACTTGCATATTAGTCTCCTGCGAGGCATCATCCTGTGTAAACAAGACACACACCTGCTACTCCTCAGGTTTGGGGTTAAAAAAAAAAAAAGTGTTTGGAAATGGAAAAATTACAAATAAATCAACAGAAGGGATTTTCCCTCATCCTGGGATCCCTGCTCATGCTAAGGAGGATATAGAATTTAACTGTTGGGCTGCATAGAGAGAGAGTCAACCTTGTTTTTTCTTTTTAAAGTCCTCTGCTGCTGAGGAACAAGTGAGCTGCATATGGAAGGAGAAACTTTGGCTTAAAATGTGGCATTTTGTTTTTCAGGTTAAGGGAGGACACTATATTAGGAGTGTGCCATGACAAGACACCTGCTAACAACAACTGGCATTAAATGTAACATGTATGATTTTACACAAACAGCAACATTGCAAAGGAAAAGTAATAGCCATTAAAATGCTGATGACCTAAGAGTATTTACATAACGCCTAATGATGATCTTTATTTCCATTCATTGTGCATCATATCATTAACGAATATTGTATGGACATAAATAGTCAAGTGGCTAAACAAATGGGGGTAGTTATTCACCAGCAACACACTTCTTTTATATCCTCAGAAAACCAGGATTTTTAATTTGAGTTCTTCTCTTTCAAGGCAAATTGCACTAATTTTGCTTAGTGCTCCAGCCTGAAAGTTCACAGAATGACACACTGTGAAATTAATTTGAAAATAAATGTTTGATTATTACTGTTGGTAGGTGAGATCAGTTTAGTATCACAAAAGATGGACCTCAGGGGAGTCTCTCCCTATAGACACAAAAGCCGTGTTAAGTTACATTTTTGAAAATGGGACCCTACGTTGTGCCTCTCCATTTTACACACAGGTTAACTGTGCATGTAAAGTATGTCACTGACTACATATTATACACCAAAGCAGGTGCTGGTGCTGCCATGTACGTATTTTGTGAGCACCAGGTTATGGGCCAGATTTCAAAAACAGGCACTTGAGTTATCCATAAGGCCCCTCTGCCACAAGCAAGCCTGTCTGGGATGGAGGGCCTTTTTGGTGCTACAGAAGGGGTCAGAGCAGCTACCCAATCAATGCCTTCCAACCTATTTTCTGTTAGGGGAAAAAAAAAAACCTTCACCCTGCTCGACTGGAATATAAAGTTGCGGCCCATCTCCTTGTGTAGCGGTACAGAATGATAAAATCCTATGCTATGAGTCAACAGCCAACATATTGGCTACCTACATTAGCTGTGTCTCTAAAGCATCCTCATGTTCACTGAAAAATCATGTTAGCAAAAGAACTTGCCCAGTTGAATCCTCTCCATCCCTTATTCTTGTGAGCTTTTTTGGAAATACAGTTTCATTTGCTTCAAAGACAGCCCACAATAACCTCTGTGCAGCAGAAAGGTAGACTTCAGAGTATAACTGCCCTCTGCTGTGTCATTTATAGGCAATTCATTCTATGTTGATGAGG